ACGGACGTAACACGGGCACTCCTCTCACCGTTGATGGGGACAGACGAGAGTGGGCAACAAGCACTGGGAAATAGGAGGCCTTTGCCACCTTCTTCTCCAAGAAGTGCAGTGTCACTGATATGGATCTTACTTCTGACGATTTACCTGACCTTGTTCCAACCGGAGCACCGGCAATCGCAGCCGTTCATTTCGCCCGGCAACTGTCTACCATCTCCTAGCGCGACTCGACACATCAAAGGCGACTGGTCCTGACGGCATTTCAGCCCGGGTCTTGAAGGAATGAGCAAAAGAGCTTGCGAAGCCTTTGTCCCAGCTACTCGCTCTCTGTTTCAGGTGCGGAGTTAAGCCAAAATCCTGGACGACAGCTAACGTGGTGCCGATCCACAAACGATCCTCGCGCTCTGTTCTGAAAACTACCGCCCAGTCTGGTTATTATCTATAATGTCTAAAGTAATGGAAACTATTGTCAATCGCCAAATTATGAACCATCTCGAGCGCCAGCAGCTCCTCACTCCCCGCCAGTTTGGGTTCTGTCTGGGTCTCGGTACGGCAGACGCACTACAGGCGCTTCACAACGCCTGGGTGGGCATCGTTGGCCAAGGCGGCGCAGCACCGATTCTCGCCGTTGATATAGGGGCCTTTGACCCGTTCTCCCACGTGGGCCTCCTCTACAAGGTCCGGCAGCTCAGCATTACTGGCACTCTCCATAGTTAGCTATCGTTCTATCTCGGCGGCCGTTCACCCCAGTGCTTAAGTTAGTCGGCGGGCAGGTTTCTTCTCTCTACCCAATCTCTGCAGGGGTGACCCAGGGCAGTATATTGAGCCCTACGCTGTTTTTAAAATATAATATTATTATGTGAATGACGCTGCCGATATTCTTGTTGGCAATGCTAAGCTTGAGGCCTACGTGGACAATAGAACACTATACAGTCTAGTGTCCTCAGCTCAGTGCCCTCGGGACGCTGCACACACCTTGCAGATATCTACAGACCGCCTGCATGAGTGGGGTTGCCGGTGGAAAGCGTCGTTCGAGCTCACCAAGTCACAGGCTATGACTGCTACCCTCCGACGCACTGACCTAGACCTACCCCCAATCCTGTTTGGTGGCACCCCTGTACCGGAGGAAACCAGCATATCATTTCTTGGAGTTCAATTTGACTCCAAATTGTCCTTCGCTAGTCACCTCAGGACTGTGACCATCCGTGCCCAGCAGCGCCTGGGTTTTCTCCGACGAGCAGCTCCCATTCTAACGCCAGCTGGCCGAACGACTGTTTACAAGGCATTCATGAGGCCCCTGTTAAAGTATGCCCCGTTTGTGTGGATGGGCGTGCCAGCCAGCCACATCCAACGGCTGGATAATGTTCAACGCCGCGTACTGCGGATCATTGGCCCTGGTGCGATTCTCCCCAGTCTGGCTGTCCGCCGGACTGTTGCTGCTCTCTTGTGCATGTACAAATTGCATTTCATCACTGGTCCTCCTCAGCTACTTGCTGTATTGCCACCCCATCGCGTTTTTCCAGCCAACCCTAGAACCAGGAACGAGCACAATAATGCCACTGGCCACGCCTATCTACTGTCAGACACGCTCCCTGTCTCCGCTCCATCCGTCGTGAAGCGGTCGTTCCCGTACTGCTGTATTGGCGCATGGAACTGCCTTCCTGACAGGCTGCTGTCGCAACGCCCACACAAAAAAACGTTTTCAGCCATTCAAGGCAAAGGTCTACCGACACCTGAGAGACAGCAACTGGTACTGGGCAACAGATTTCCTGTAATTTTCGAGCTCGTTGCTTGCCAGACCCGCGTACATGGCCTTGCTCGGAGTGCTCAGCTGTGTTTTGCATACATGTATATGGTACATCAATCCAAACACTGATAATTCACAATATCTTTCTTTATTTAATTCGGATACTGACTTTCTGACTGCTTATTATCTTGTTACAGTCGTGGATAGTTGCTTCCATGTGATTTCTTCTTCTTTCTGTATCTTGTTTTTATTTTTCTAAACACGTTACTGTTGCACGTACCGGCACTTTTACCTTCACTGTACCCATTCCACTTCCCCATAGCTAGATCTAGCTTCGCTTTATGTTTCTGTTTCCTTTTTCCTGGTGCGTGCTCGTGGCAGTGAAGCCGAGACCGTTGGTCGGCAGAGCCCCTGGTACCTCACCATCACTGCTGCCCAGTGCAGCCCCTACTCAGTAGCTGTTTGTTTTCGTCCACATAATTATTTATTTTACGAGTTGGGTTTGTGAATAAGAGTAAAAACAAAAAAACAAAAACACGCACACACACACACACAGTGTCGTGGTGTTCGAAGGTAGAAACAAAACAAAACACACAAACTTTTCCAACTATCACCATCACCGCAATTGTCATCTCTTAGTAAAAAATAATAACAAACAGGTAAACAAGGCTATGCACAGTATCAACTGCGCGCTCATGACTCTATTCACACACCCATGTAAGTGATACCCAATGCTGTAGTAAACGAGGTAAATGTGTGCTTACCGGGCTAGGCCTGGACACCAGGCAATGTTCAGCGCGAACAGGAGCAAGACAGAAATCCACAGTGATAACGGGGTATCTGCAGCACGCAAACCATTAGAACAGATTGAGCACACAACGTGGAGTCACCGAAAAAGGTGGAAAAGTAAAAGTTCTTCCGTAACCAAACCTTTGCTACTTAGTTTTTTGACATGAGTGTGCACATCATTTTATTCAGACCTGCCCTGCAATGGTCTCACGCATGGCTTGCAGGCCGACACAGCACTGTGTACTGTACACTGGACACCATATATGTACAGTACACCGTAGACTGACCTGGGTGCACTGTCAGCTTGCACCATACTTGATCGACTGTTCTGCGGGTAGGAGGCAACGTCGTCCAGGTCAACTGTAGCAACAATCACGTCCACCTCATCCAGACAGAACTGCTTGCCCTGCGCCATCATCTACATGCGCAAAGAACAACAACAACAACGATGGTGACGACGAGGATGACGACAACAAATAAACACCACCACCAACAACACAAAACACAAACCAGCCAATCACATTGGGTTACATCGCCCATATTTAGTGCTAGATGTATTAAATCCACACCTTCACGGCACATCGCATCCCTCACCTTAGTCGCTTTAGTCGTACTACCCTTGTATTATTGGTCTCGTAAGTATGAAAGCAAGAACCTAGAGAAATTGTGAACCTGGCAAATTTCAATTGGACTCCAAAACAGTTCAATTTTGGAGCTGCCTCTGTGACGCTACAATTTGAAACACAAACCAGCCAATCACATTGGGTTACATCGCCCATATTTAGTGCTAGATGTATTAAATCCACACCTTCACGGCACATCGCATCCCTCACCTTAGTCGCTTTAGTCGTACTACCCTTGTATTATTGGTCTCGTAAGTATGAAAGCAAGAACCTAGAGAAATTGTGAACCTGGCAAATTTCAATTGGACTCCAAAACAGTTCAATTTTGGAGCTGCCTCTGTGACGCTACAATTTGAAACGAAATAACAATTATGTATTGGGCAACTTGAAGACACTGGACCGACACAACAAGTGGATCAGTTCAGTTGACCCTGGCCTCAGAAACAAACTTCGACATGATAGCTTCCTTTCACACACAAAACGTATTTCGTGAACGACCCACGCTGGTGATCACTAAAGGTCAACAACACTTTACTATCAAGCCGTTCCGAAAAGGCGCCGTCCCCTCTAACGTTACATGGCCAGTGAAAGACATACACACCTACACATAGCACACACACACACACACACACATACACACACACACTATCCGGCACTGCAGCATGATACTGACCTGGCCATTCATGACGATCATGGAGGAGCCGTCAAAGTAGAGACGACCGCCATCGCAGCCACGCTGGTTAGCGTACATGTACACACCACCTGGAGAACACCAACACCAACACCAACATCAACACCAACACCAACACCAACACCAACACCCAAAGCTTGGAAAACGACAAGCACTATGAGCTCTGCGATAGAGAAAATTCCGGAAAGTACCGTATGTTCCGGAGTATACATGTACATGTATGCCGCACTGGAGTATAAGCCGCTTTTTCTTTTCTATGAAGAAACGTTTCATTGCAATTTTTTCCACGCACACACTTACCACACTTGGACGTGGCCAGTTTGATACTGTCAACACGCGTGTCCAGCTTGCGTAGGTTATGATGAGAACCGCTACCGTTGGACACTATGTCCACGCCATTAAGCCACATGTTGATGTGCGTGGGACTGGCACACCAGAGTTCTTCGCAGATCTAGCACGCACCAACATAGAACAGGACGCAAGCAATCACAACGGTCATGATGACACAAGCAAGGAAACATGGGTATATACTTTTTCCAGGGAAAACACTTCCCAGTTGACAAAATATTGTATTCAGTGTTCAGCAAGTTTTTTAGTTCCGGCGTGAAGGGCTGAAAGCAGAGAGAAGTAAAATACCGGCATATTATGCAGCAAAGTTATTCTGGCACAGAGCTCTCCTTATCACCACCACCACCATCAGTTCGTGCCTGGCGCCTAGTCGATGCACGGCTAGTGGTATCCGACATAGCAGGCCGGTACATCAGGTAGTGCATGGCGCATAGCAGATTACACAGCAGCGACAAAGCTCGATTGCGACATATGTTTCGTCCCCGCTGGACTCACCAGGCAATCTTCTTCTTGGATGTCTTCACACGGAGCTTGAATCGGGAGAATGAAGTTGAAGACACTGCACCAACAGTCACCTCCCCCCCCCCCCCTCACTGCCTCAAATTTAGATTGAGAATCCTGTCTATTACAGCAACAACAAAACGCACTCTAGACCGCACAGTAGAGTGCCAATTATCCGCACCCCTCGGGGCACAGGGCCATCTATGTTCAGACGGTAGTACGTAATATTTCTCTGGCATGGCATCACTAAGACTAGAAGTAATGGTTCCTTTTATTATTGATAGCTGGAGCAGTCCTTTCTCTGTCTTGTGCCAATACTGCAATAGTGATTCATGTATCAAGGCCTGAGCTACACTGTAGGCTGTAGTCTTCCCTGTCTCTCTTGTGGTTTTCTATTCATGAGGGCGATCTACAAAGTGGCGTCATAACTATTTCCAACTGGCCGTTCATGTATTACATGCATATACTTCTTAGCTGTGTGTTGTTGCTTGTTGCTGTGCATGGTCATACATTTGTATTGCATAGTATCATGGCTAGCTTTCGTGCCGTACAACAGCGCGTGTGCGGTGGCTACGCCTCTGCTGTTTTGCCAGCTGACAGTGCTGCATAAATTACTTCATCTTTGCCTTTTGTCTTCGGTTGTGCACCGACATAGAATGTTTTCGGTTTTAGTAGTTCCTTGGTTCGCGTTGTGTAGCTAGCTAGGCTGCTCTTTCAGGTGTAATTGTATTTGGAGTGAAAAGATAAGATAACGTGTTCCTTCGTGTGAACATTCTGGTAGCAGAGGATGGTTATCGCCTGAGTGAGCAGTTCAGTTTCGGAAATTTAAATTATTTAGATCATGTCGTCGCCGGAGCCTGAGAGTGAGAGCACAATCAGGGCTAGCAGTCAGAGAACTGAGCTCTTTTTAGGTGCCATGGCAGAGAGGGCAGGCGACGTGATCGAGGAGGACGAGGAAGTCGAAGAGGACGAACATGGTCAAAGTGACCAGCGATCGAATGAACTGATGTTCGTGAAAATGAAAGCTGAAAAAGCGAATCGCAAGAGAAAGTTCACCAGGTGTCGCAGAGCCGTGATCGTGGCCTTGCGTGACGGAGTTGAAGAGGAAGCTGCGAGGTCGTTGTTTGGCGAATTAGAAATGATCGAGGATGCCCTGAACGGTGTGTTCATGGACGTACTCGAGTGGGCTGGCGGCATGAACGATGCGCTCGCAGTGGCTAAAGTGACCGATGAGATGGAGGAAGCGGAGAAAGAGATGAAGGAGGTCACAAGGCTGTATCAGGAGTTCCTAGAACACCAGCCAGCGTGGACGGCTGCACGGAACAGCCACCCAGACAGGCCAGCGTATCATCAGTATGCCCAGGCACCAGTGGAAGAGCCAGGAAGTCCACTGAGTGTGATATCGCTGGGCAGAAGTGAAGGCTCCCAGGATCGGGATGAGCCTGGTGATGGCGTGGCGCTGGTTCAGGAGAACCAGGCAAGAGTAGAAGACAGTGATGAAGTGGTTGTGACCACAAGTGTCTCCGGCAGTAGTAACAGAGAGGCAGAGCTTGGGGCTAGAACAAGGCCACCAATGGAAGCTGGGAGTAGGAGGTCAGAGCGTGAAAGAAGCCCTGCCTTGCCTGTACTACAGCCTGCTGTGCCAACACGGAGTGCTGTATGTGTGTCCAGTGCATATACTAGAGTGAGTGAGACCAAGGCCCCTCAACTTCAAGTCGCGAAGAGTCCAGGCCAGCAGGGCAGTAGTACTCAGGCTCCTGCGTCAGGACTACACCCTACATCATCTCTGCCATATCAGTCCGCCAACTATCTGTACACCCAGGCCAGTGGGCCACCACAGGTAGCCTCAAGTCATCAGGCCATGGGCATTGGTGCCTTTTCAGCATTGCCAGGAGCAGGTGTGTCCGCCAGCCACCAGCGTGCTGTGTCTCAGCCTCCACCTGTCAAGCAGCCATCAGATGAAATTTTCAAGCAACTGAAGGCTATACAGATCCCAGTCTTCGGCGGCGATAAGCAGGCGTATGCCTCATGGAAGGCTGCTTTCATGGCGTGTGTTGGTAGCTCGTCTGCAAGGGCAGACTTGAAACTGCTGCACCTCCGGCAGTATTTGAGTGGAGATGCCTTGGCTTCCATCGAGAGCTTGGGATACACCCCGTCTGCGTATGAGGCCGCAATGAGGCGGTTAGACCGCAAGTTTGGAGGCGACCAACGACAGCTGTCGCTGCAGTACGAGCAAGTCGAGGCCTGCCCAATCATTCGTTCCGGCCGAGCAGGAGATCTCCAGAAGTTCGCAGATCTCCTCGACGTACTCGTGGTCAACCTCCTCGACTCCGGAAAAGGCAATGAGCTGGGTGATGGGCTGTTGTACCGGAAGCTCCTGGCCAAGTTGCCGGCTGGGATGTTAACCCAATTCAATCGATGGTGTCATCAGAAGCCCTGCCAGCCAGGAATTCAAGCACTACTGGAGTGGGTGACGTTGGAAGCGGAGTTTGCCGTTGGAGCGTCCGAAGCACTAGATGGAGTTGGCGCGAAGGACAAGCCTCCGGCACCCCGAAATGCTCCTCAACGATCCTACTTCGGGGGAAAGGCTTCGCAGAATGCAGGGTGGTCAAGGCCTGCGGGCTCAGCGGCCGGACGATCTTCATGTCGGCAATGTGGCGGACCTCACGGTGTCTGGCAGTGTAAAGCATTTCAGCAGCTTTCCGTCGCCAATCGCTGGAGACAGGCTAAACAGCATGGTCTGTGCTACCGCTGCCTTGGAGGCGATCACCAAGGTCACCACTGTCCACGAACCAGACCCTGCTCAGTGAGCGGCTGCAACAACAATCACCACTACTTGCTACACCGGGACTTGCTACACGAGGACAGCAGGAACCCCGATGCCGCACAGTCAAACAAGAAAAAATCGGGGAACACGGCAGCTGGAGGAATGACGGCGGACAAGTCCCAACTCAGTCCTGCCGAACAATTCTGCAACTATGGAGACAATGGTTCAGGTCAGGAGACAGGGGACCAGGTATTGCCTCCCGCCATCGACTGTTTAGTAACGCCGCCATACGCCGGTAAAGACCAAGAGCAGCGCACCCCACAGTCGTTCACCGAGGGGGAGACGGAGTCCACGAAGAGTGATTCCACCATGATGGTCCAAGGCCCGGGCAAGATAGCTCTGCGAACGGTCTCAGTCGTCTTGGAGAACGGCCACAAGTCAGTGCAAGTGAATGCGTTGCTGGACGACGGTAGCACGACGAGCTACCTCAACGGCAGCATTGCCAACCAGCTCGGCGTCAGCGGGGAGCTGAGGACATTCACAGTCCACACCTTGAATGGCAAGCAGACCTCATTCACAACCAGACCAGTAAGCTTCACCATTGGCAGCATGGATGGCAGTGTTCGACAATCTATGACGGCGCTGACGGCTGATTCGGTCACCGGGAATCTTCGTCCGGTAGAGTGGGTCAAGGAAGCAGTCAAGTATCCTCATCTGAGAGAGATTCCGTTCGCAAGACTGGCGGAGCCCGCCAGGGTCGATCTGCTGATTGGGAGCGACTATGCTGAGCTGCTTGTGTCACAGCAGGAAGTGGTCGGCCCGCCTGGTCAACCAGTGGCGCGTCATACTCCACTGGGTTGGACCTGTGTTGGCAGAGTGACGGGAACCCACTCGAGTCAAAGGACGTTCCACAGCCAAGCGTTTCAGAGTGAGGAGAGAGCAACACCAACCGGCTTAGAGACCGCGCTACAGCAGTTCTGGCAAATTGACAGCTGCGGCACGGAGGAGAGCTTCAGTGAGCCCGGCCCGCGCTCGCGGGAGGAAGAGACAGCCCTAGACATCGTCAAACACTCGCTGAAGAAGGTGGACGGTCGGTACCAGGTGTCTCTGCCGTGGAACAATCGCAAGAGAGAATTATGCAACAACTTGGGTGCGGCTACGAAACGTCTAGGCCACACCGAGCGCAAGCTCCTGAAAGACCCATTTGTTGCCCAGGCTTATGGCCAAGTCTTCCAGGCCTACCAGAGGAACGGCTATATCCGGGAGCTCGCGAAGGAAGAGCTAGGTCAAGAGGTATGCTGGTACTTATCCCACTTTCCCATCGTCCGACCGCAGAAGACGACAACCAAGGTGCGGATCGTCTTTGACGCTGCAGCATCCTGTCATGGCCTCAGCCTCAACGACGCCATCTACCCTGGTCCGAAGCTCCAACGTGAGTTGTTCGATGTGTTGACCAGGTTTCGGCAAAAGCCTATAGCAGTGGGCTGTGACGTGACCGAAATGTATTTGCAGGTGTCGGTTGCGCCAGCAGACAGGAAGTACCTCAGATTCGTGTGGCGGGACCTGGATCCAGCCAAGCCTTTACGGCACTTTGAGTTCAACCGCCTGGTCTTTGGCGTCAATGCTGCACCATTCATCGCCCAGTATGTTGCTCAGCAGACAGCCCGGGAACATTTGGCGTCTCATCCCCTGGCAGCAGAAGCTATCCTCGCGTCCACCTACATGGATGACACGATGGACAGCACCAAAGATGTCGAACAAGGTCAGATTCTTCATCGGGAGCTAATGGATCTGTGGGGTGAGGCCAAGATGACGCCGCGCAAGTGGGTGTCCAACTCGCCCGAGCTCCTGAAGGTAATTCCAGCCGAGGCTCGCGCTACCCAGCTGGACTTATCCCAAGGAGAGCTACCATCCGTGAAGACGCTAGGAGTGTCATGGGACGGTCAGGCAGACTGCTTCTTCTTCAGCGTTCAACCGCCAGACCTCACCAACCAACGCATCACCAAGCGATTCCTCCTAGCAAAAGTCGCGTCCGTATTCGACCCGTTGGGGTTTCTGGCACCGTTCGTGACCCAAGCCAAGATCCTCATGCAAGAGAGTTGGGTAGCTGGTATTGACTGGGATGAACCGGTTCCAGATGGCATCGACACCAGCGCTCGCCAGTGGTTCAATGACCTGGCGAAGCTCAGTTTAGTTCGAGTACCAAGATGTCTCATCCCGGACGTGGCCAGTGGAGTGACGCTGCATGTTTTCTGTGATGCGTCGAGTGTGGCGTATGGTGCCGTGGTCTACAGCTCCACCGTGCAGCATGGCTCTGAGGGAAACGTTCGTCTCGCTGGAGCCAAGAGCAGAGTGGCGCCGACAAGAACACAAAGTATTCCTCGGCTGGAATTGCTGGCGGCTGTGCTTGGCCTTCAGCTGGTCCGGAAGTTCAGTCAGATCATGACCATTGCCATGTCAGAGGTGATTTTCTGGAGCGACAGTGCAACTGTGCTGCTCTGGATTCGCAGCTACAGCCGACGTTTCAAACCGTTTGTGGCGAATCGCATCAGCCACATCCAGACTGTTACGTCGCCCAGTCAATGGCGGTACGTTCCCTCCAGCGACAACCCAGCTGACTTGGCGTCACGGGGAGCTGGGGTAGAGCAACTGGTTGCAACTGAGCTGTGGTGGCAAGGACCGGCCTTCCTGCAGAAAGAAGAATCTGAATGGCCAGCCAAGATCGTGGGTGGCCAAGACCCAGCTGCCCGAGCGGAAGCTCGCAAGGCTGCACAGCCCGAGGTGATGTCATTTATGTCCGAGAAAGTACCCAGCTTGTGCTCTCGGCGCTTCTCAGACTGGACGCGCGTAGTCAGAGTACGGGCTTGGGCAATTCGCTTCATCACCAACTGCCGTGGAGGTGAGGAGTTGAGCGGAGAGCTAACCGGCGAGGAGATGGACGCTGCCAGCCTTTCCATCATCAAAGAGGCACAGCACGAGGCATTCGCGGAGGATCTGAAGCTAGTGAAGAATGGTCAACCACTTCCGCTGAAGTCACGTTTGGCGAGGTTATCGCCTCGACTGGACGACGACGGACTATTGCGCTGCGATGGTCGCACCAAGCTGGCTGACTGGTTGCCGTTTGATGTGCGCTTCCCGATTCTTCTCCCCCGGAAACATCCGACCACCCGGCTTATTGTCAAAGATTGCCATGAGCAACGTCATCATGGCGGGACGAATGAAACGTTGGCAGCTCTCTCTGATCACTATCTTGTCGAAGCAGCACGGGAGGAGATCCGTGACTGGGAGAAAGACTGCATGGTGTGTCGACGACTAAAAGCCCGTGCGGGAGAGCAAATCATGGCCCCGTTGCCAGCAAAGCGATTGTGTGAGCCACTGAGAGCCTTCAGCAGGGTAGCCGTTGACTACGGAGGGCCGTTCGAAACTATGCAGGGGAGAGGAAAGACTCGCCACAAACGCTATCTGTGCCTCTTCACGTGTTTGCTGACTCGTGCGGTCCATTTGGAGATGGCGTACGCATTGGATGCAAATTCTTTCCTGAACGCCTTTAACCGGATGGCCAACCGACGAGGTTGTCCAATGGAGGTTCTGTCGGACAATGGAGGCAACTTCGTGAATGCCGACCGCCAGCTACGTGAGCTTGTTGGCCAACTGAACAATACCACCGTCCGGAAAGCCATGGCCTGCAGACGCGTGAAATGGAGTTTCAACCCGCCATTAGCTCCTCATTTCGGGGGAGTTCACGAGGCAATGATTCGAGCCGCCAAACGAGCTCTACACGCCATCCTTGGAGACGCATCTGTGACGGACGAGGAGTTGGTCACCGCTCTCAGCGGAGCAGAGTCCCTCGTCAACTCCAGGCCCATCACCTACCAATCGGCTAGTCCGAAGGATCCAGGGCCGCTAACTCCGAACCATTTCCTTCATGGCATGGCCGAGGGCCAGCTGGTTATTGCAACAACGGACGAGAAGGGGTGTCAACTGCAGAGACGTTGGAGATATGTTCAAATGCTCATCGACCATTTCTGGCATCGCTGGCTGAAAGAGTTTGTCCCACGGTTGAATCAGCGGATGAAGTGGCGACACCAGCGACGCGATCTGGCCGTTGACGACGTTGTCCTGGTGATGGATTCAAGCTCCCCGCGTGGGCGTTGGCCGCTCGGCAGAGTCACGGAAGTTTTCCCTGGTCCGGACGGACATGTGCGTGTGGTGGCCATGCAAGTGGGCGGGAAGACTCTGAAGAGATCCATCACTCGAGTCTGTCCACTGGAATGTTAGACGGCTCTCCCTACATGCCAGAATGGAGGTACTGCTCAGTGACGACCCCCATTAATGATTCATGCATTGTTTTTGTTTTTTTTGTAGCTTCCTACCACTGAACTTGCCCTTTCGATTCACTTTTCTCTTAGCTTGGTACTGGTAGTTGTAAGGATAGGCATCATGCAACATCTGGGTGCATATTGCGAGGGGGAGGATGTTCAGACGGTAGTACGTAATATTTCTCTGGCATGGCATCACTAAGACTAGAAGTAATGGTTCCTTTTATTATTGATAGCTGGAGCAGTCCTTTCTCTGTCTTGTGCCAATACTGCAATAGTGATTCATGTATCAAGGCCTGAGCTACACTGTAGGCTGTAGTCTTCCCTGTCTCTCTTGTGGTTTTCTATTCATGAGGGCGATCTACAAAGTGGCGTCATAACTATTTCCAACTGGCCGTTCATGTATTACATGCATATACTTCTTAGCTGTGTGTTGTTGCTTGTTGCTGTGCATGGTCATACATTTGTATTGCATAGTATCATGGCTAGCTTTCGTGCCGTACAACAGCGCGTGTGCGGTGGCTACGCCTCTGCTGTTTTGCCAGCTGACAGTGCTGCATAAATTACTTCATCTTTGCCTTTTGTCTTCGGTTGTGCACCGACATAGAATGTTTTCGGTTTTAGTAGTTCCTTGGTTCGCGTTGTGTAGCTAGCTAGGCTGCTCTTTCAGGTGTAATTGTATTTGGAGTGAAAAGATAAGATAACGTGTTCCTTCGTGTGAACAATCTATTCGGGTTCGGATAACCAAGCGAGCACATATCCACTCAAAATATACACACTCCCTTGTGTTTCCATCGTGCCTCGATTTTTTATGCCGGAACCGCAGCAATAAGCTACACATGAACTCCTGGAAATTACTCGTAGGGACAACGACACTTGTTACTATCAGGGAGTCGTAAAATACCGTTATTTTACGACTCCCTGGTTACTATGCACCTTGGGCACTAGTTCCGTAGAGTGGTTTCACATCCGTTTGTCGTGTGACTAAATTTGTGTAGAAAGTGATCATGTCATGTGGACAGTGGAACCAACATGGCTGACATTATGTGACCCATTGATGCATGGGCTGACTGGAGTTGGAACCAACACGGCTCTCATGTATGGTCATGTGATAGATGTGAGCCTACTCTATAGACAATTGCAATTCAGCGCAACCAAGCGTTTCGCATAATCGATCGTTTCAACATTTTTACTAGTACGTTTTTTTACTGTATTAAATCGTACGTACCTCGGCAGCAATGCGTGCATCGTTGAGTTGTAGAATAGCATCGCCGATGGGCACGGTGGTCTGGCCCGACACTCTCAGAATCTTGGGCAGAGAGCACTGCTCCACGACTTGCAGCTTTGACCAGCGAGTGAACCAACGACTTTCACGATAGTTACCTGTGAAACAAAAACAGAGTGAAGCCAATTATGGTGACAATTAGCGATGACATTCATTCGAATCACCACTTCACTGGTAGAGCAACCGTAGAACATACTGCAGATAGTTGTAGCATTACTATCAGCTGGCATCACAGTCAGCCGATAAACAACATCAAAAATTCATGTGGCAATCCGTTGGTACACTGGAAGAGTTTCAAAAGTGTGTTAAAGCATGGGTTTAAACTTCACTTCTCAACTCCAAAAACGGTCTCTTCACTGCGATTCAAACCAAAATTAAAATTAACATTACACCAAATTTTCGGGCCAGTTTTGGTTTGAATCGCAGTGAAGAGACCGTTTTTGAAGTTGAGAAGTGAAGTTTAAATGTGGAAGTGGCTGCGTTGGAGTTTGCGGACAATTAGGAAAGCATGGGTTCATAAAAAAAAGAGAAACAAATGGTGCAAGCCAGGGTGCAAGGCAGTTCTTGCTCAATCAAAACGTTGGTGCATTTGATGTCCCCATGACACCGAGACTTCAGGCCGGCTGAGGGCAACAGGCCTCACCATCACTATGGTCCCATTACACGATTTTTTGTCTTAGTCTGTGATTGTAAAAAAATCAAATTTAAAAATCAAAAAATCTGTCCTTCAAGACTCTTACCATTTCCAGCTAGTTGTAGCTTGGGTCGGATGAGAAGAATGCGACCATGCAGAAAGAAGACGCGGCAGTTGTACACTACTCGACGGTGCTCAAACGCCATACCCACCTGTTTTGGTAGCAGAACAGCATAGAGCAAGGCTTCAGTTCACACTTGGAGTAAACGTCGCCAACAGTCAGTACACACAAATAACGCAGATACATGTACTGTACAAGCAAAGACAGCAAGCAATGATGTCATGCAAGCCAAAGACAGAAAGCAATGATGTCATGCAAGGCAAAGACAGCAAGCGATGATGTCATGCAAGGCAGAGACAGCCCCAGGCCCCCAGCCTGCTAAAACCATGGGCAACAAATATGCGAACCGAGTACTACATCCTATGGAGGGGCAGCTTGGGTCGCTGGAGTAACCCAAGTCTATAGGAAACCTCAGGAGTCTGCGACATTCTTTTAGAGTTGATGTCCTTGCTCATATGTAGCCGATTCAAACACTATCCCACCGGCAATACAAACAACATCCAGCAGATCATGCTTGGGAAAAGAACAAATGCCAGGCTCTAGCCGACAGACCGTTTTTGGGTAGTGGTGTATAACTGCGTAGAATCCTCACAAGCAACATTCTCAGAAACATTTCCACAAATACACGTTCAATGCCTTCTCATCAGGTGATTGCAGGAAAAAAAAGAAAATTGAACACATACAATAATATTAAATACAGTAGAGAGGGGATAGTCATCTCCACCATGTGAAATTGCAGTTTCAATAGTAAGATCTCCAAATTTCAAGAGGTGATAGAACAGCACAAAGAAGCTTAGCCAGAAACAATGTTAAAACGTGTGACCCACACATATAGAAGGAATGACGAAACGTGCAGGTGCTATTGTGGGGTGGCTGAATAAGTGTGCAATCTGGAGCCAAAAGCAACTCACAAACAATAGACAAACTAACAAGTTGTTGACCGCATACCTAGCGGCCTACGCGTGAATTCGATCTGCTTCTGCTTGCAAAGATTAGGCTCGGTCTTTTTGTCGTCACTTCTATGTGTACGAGGTCACGCATTTTAATGTTCTTCTTTCTTTCTACTCTTCTTTGCGCTGTTTTATCACCTCCCTGCAGTACTACAGATCCCCGAACATTCATGTCACTAGCAGCTGCATGTAACAAAATGTCACGGTTCGCGTGAGACTCGGTTTATCTACATAGAGGCCGAGTTTTCCGCATCCGTAGGAACGCCACCACCCTTTAATGATCAAGGCGCAGATGCAGCTCCTAAAGCGGTGGCAGGTGAATGCAAGCATACTGTAAAACGGCTAATTTTAGAGCCAGCGATATTTTCGAATTGGTCCTGATTCGGAAAAGTTGAGAAAACGCTAAAAAATAACCTGCTAAAATTAGCCGTTCTACAGTATCGCTGAGAATAGATTATCATGACTGTACGGGTGCTTACATCACAGAGCAAGTCCATCTTGGCAGTGCGTTGCAACAGCCATGCCAACACCTCGTATCCATGCTCCACCGTGTCACGTTCCAGAAAGTGATCCTCACAGCCGTAGCCGGACACCTAGAGAATTACGTATGCACACATCCACACCCACAAACATGCACGCCCCCATACACACCATGTGCCACACACACACACACCCACGCATACACACGCACACACCCCAAGAAACACACGCACACACCCACCCACACACCCACACACGCACACCCCCCCCCCCCCCCACACACACACATACACACACACACACACACACACACACACACACACACACACACACACACACACACACACACACACACACACACACACACACACACACACACACACACACACACACACATATCTAGCTCTAAAGCATTGCCGAGCTCTCAGAGTGAGTAACGTATGTACCATTCAGGCTAGGCTGTTGAGAAATAATTAATTGCTCATCGAACAGGGAGATCGTCCATTATTTTATTTTCCGGTAAGGTTTGTGTTAAACTTATGAACCTTCAGAATTCAGGCTGCTCTGAAAGCCCATACAGTCAACTGGGCGAATAACGACCATGGATCAAGCATGAGAAAACTTAAAGTGTTGTTATTCGCGAAGTTGAAAATATGCAGTCAAATGGTCACTAATTCGTGGCCTCTAATTTCCTAAAAAAAATGGTCACTAGGTATGAAAAATGTGTCGTTATTCGCGAGTTGTTGTTCCATCCGAGGTCGTTATTCACGAGGATTTTCCGTACCATGTACGATGTATTCGCCCGTCGCAAGACAAGCACCACATGTATCATCACCGACCAACACTGCATGCAAGGTAATTCTTTGTTGCCATCTTCCATAAGTCCGTCAAATAATTACTACTGCATGCAAAGTTTGACTCCACTCCAGACCATCCAAGACATAAAGCGAATTATAATCAAAATTTTGTGGGAGATCTTTCAGGAAACTTCACTTCTCAACTCCAAACTCCAAAAACAGTTTGAATCGCAGTGAAGAGACCGTTTTTGGAGTTTGGAGTTGAGAAGTGAAGTTCCCTAAATGTGTAAATGGTTGTGTTGGAGTTAGCGGACAAAAAAGTTTTTTTTGGGAGATCGTTTCAAGAATATTCAAGCGAGGTGTGCATGTACGGTCAGGCTTGCTGACCGATTAAAGCCCTCAGGTCTTGATCAGCCATCAAGCACTCTATGGGCGCGTTCGAAATGTCACTCTTTGACTTTTCGAACTTTTTTTTTTTTGTTTTTCTGAAGAGGTGGCTTATTAGCCTTTTCAGAAAACGAAAGTCTCCTCAAAACTCCTCGGAACTCCACAACCTCGTCCGATGGGAGAGGTGGATTAGTTTCGAATAGTTTGGAATAGATGGTCATTATCGCCATGACAATTCCACTGAAAACCTCTAAAATGATAGAAACCGTTCTAATCTCTTTTGAGAATTCATTTGAAAAGTTGACGAAGACAATTCGAACGTACCATATACCTAGCTTGATAAAAATTAATACTTCTGCTACATGAAAGTTCCATTACCAGTGGATTATACCTTACTATGTACATGTAGTAACTTATGGGTTGGCAGTCACATTAGGGCACATGTGAACGGACATGACTTTGTATTGGTAAGCGTGCATAGCTGGGAGTTACTAGTACTCAATGATGCAGACAGATTTTGGGACTTATGTACTTTTGGCATTGGGACATTTCGCCTTCAAAGATATTCCACAAAGGTATCATCGAGGTGACTGCATAAGTAAGCCATTCGCTTAGCTGGAAGCTATCTGCTTACTTCCAACTCCGGTCCGAGACGATATCTGACTCCTTCTGCCTCACATTTTCTCAAGCTGTCCAATATTCTCAGTTGATTGGACTCGAAGTCCATTGACCATTGGTTCAGGCAGCATGAACCTAGCCGGGCAAGACGGACCATTTTCTGAACCTATTGCTGCCCAAGGAAATGATAGTCTTGTACTTGTAGCTGAGAGTATGTGAGTGCTAAAAGTCCTTGGCTGAACGACTCTAGCAGAAAATATTGTTTGTCTTCGTGTACAATGTTGCTGAGGTCGATCAAGCAAACATGAAACTCAAACAGAAAGCATGATGCAGTGAATCCGAAGCTCCAGAAATTGGAGGGGAGCCCTAATCGTTTTCCTATAAACCACTCCCAGGGCCCCTAAAACCTGCCAGTTCAAACACGAAAAACCTACAGAATGTCTGTCACACGTCTCTGTCTGCTTTTGAAATCTTGCTGCATACCTGACACGTGAAAATGAACGCATAATTGCAGAAAAAGAAGGCAATTCAACCCTATCACCACACTGTTGTTTTACAGTGTTTGTTGTCCACTGTTGTCGCTGCTCAACAAGAAGACAACATTTCCAGTCGCCCAGAGTGTTTTGTATCCTCAGCCAGGCCAGAGGGCGCGCCTCTGTAGTCCTTAGTCATGGCCATGTCTGCTACGAAAATCAGCCAATGGGTCGAAAAGGTGAGAGAAGTGCACATTTTCTCAAATATTTCCGAATATGTTTGGTGTTTAGTGTGGGTGCAATGTCCCTACACGAGAAGCCTTTGCATATTATGCTTTCCTGGATAATTTCCACGTGAGCTGTTATAGCCTACTTTCGTCATATTTCGTAACGACCAAGAGCTACCCAAGAAACAAACTGTTTTTATATCAAAGAATTTAAATTTAGACAAATTGAATGTTGTCAGTTGTCAGACGTATACGTGCACACGTGTGTACTTAATTGGGAAGTGAATTGCCTCTACCCAATATAAAGGAGAGAAATGACTAGTATTTAAGTTAACTTGAGTCAGGTACACACTCTAAGGTAAACCCCAAAGTGAGATTTCTAGAGCAGCATGAACTCTGTTAACTCTTTCCAGCTCTCAGCCAATGCTATAAAAACCACGATGAGAAACGCAAATCCCACAACCAGGACTGGAACCATGTGTTGTTTGAAGAGGTGACAGAACGAGGACCAGTTGCTCAGTGCGTCTCAGGTTGTAATGTGTTACGAGAAACACTTTTCGCGCTAAGTTTTCCAACCTTTTTAACCCTTTACCGGCAAGTTACTTTTGTATATGAAATCCATAACATTTAGAACGATACCAATAACTCACAACGAGGCCACATTTTGTATGTGCAAGTTATGTTTTATTGGAAGTCTAGTACTACTTCTTGACCATGGAAAAATTTAGTTTCTGATACCACACACATGCGCTGCTAAATTGGCACCTCTACGTCTAAACACGGAAATTGTACACATGCAAATCGTCAGAGTTCCGACATTGACATGATACTGCCAAAACAAGTCGACTTCGGAGCGGAAACAAACGCCATAGCCATCACAAACTTCAGTGGCCATGCCTCGCTCGCAAATGAGAGCAGCATCGCCCCAGAATCGCTGTCGGAAAGCTCCGTAAGGTCGTACGCAAGCCGCGCTGCGCTGCCGTCACTCAGGTACGTAGAAAGTCGATGGGCTAAAATTCCGTCTCTGGGAGACTGTCGACACGGGAATCGCTCTCCATGGCTTCCCCACCATAAGCACCATCAGATTCTTCCAGTTACATCACGACGACATCGTCTTCAGCGGCTGGCGCTCCCCATATTTGCGTGAGAATTTACTTGGCGTGCGCACCGCTCCGTAATTTGAAATTCGCTTGCATCGGCGACTGGAACGAAGTATTTATCTATCTGTCGTCGGTCCCAGAGCGAATGACTGCTAGGTCGTCGTCGGAGAAGTCATCCGAGGACGAAAGGAACTCACTGCGCAAGAGAAAATGCACCCGACGATGCTTTGACGGAGGCGGACGGCATTGTCGGCGCGCGTGTATTTCCGTAAGTTTTCGATCGCGCAGTTCTCAATGAAATCAAATGGGACACGCGTGGATCTCTTCAGCTACCGATAGGATCATACCTAGGCTGTTTGAGGGCCACGGGAAATCCCCGTGGGCTGATGCTTCCCGTCATGCCAGGCATGGTTTTGTATGCCTGTCGAATGCGTCAACGTTGACGCATTCAAGTATGGGGCTGCCGGTAAAGGGTTAAAATGCTCAAGTTTGTTGGGCAGAAGACCGACGAGGAGAGAATGTAAGTGGAATGAGGGGCAATGCTACAAGTAGCTTTATGACAATGAATGTGGGGCTTTGGCTGGACAGTCTAACGCTGTACATGTATGTTTCAAGCTCTCTCGAATGACGGGGACTCCCTGGATTTGGGCCAAGGCCTGTGGAGAATCCATCAACGAAATTAAATACAAATTCCCAAAGGCCGTCATCAAGCATGGCAAGCCGATGATGCCGGTGACGGCTGGCGATTGGCCAGAGCCGTGGCAACCGTCATGTGTCATGCAAGAAACTCGGAGTCGTAGTGTGACTTGTGAGGCGTACTACTAATATCATGTACAGTCGAATCCTGATATACTGTAAAACCGGAAAGTTTGACGACCAAAAAAATTAACATTTTGGTAATTTTGGCATGATAGAGTGCAAAAAGTTCAACGGTGGCTACCTGGCCACCCATCTGTATGCGCATCTTTACACAGACATCTCGAACCGGGTTCGCGATAACGTTTCTTCAAATAACGAAAAAAAATGGTAGTTAAAACGTTAGACTTTGGGACTCGTTAGACTTTCCGGTTTTACAGTAACGAACACCATCGTGCAGGAGAATTTGTTCTTTTTGGCCAAATCTCTTTCTAACAGAACTGCACTCACACTATATAAGTAACACAGTCATCATGATGGGCATGTGGCCCATGACACCATGACCCACTACTACTACTACTACTGTGGGAATGCCTCTTGTACGGGCCAACAACATGTGATACATCCTTTCATATAAATATGGGACACTTCATGTAAAAAAAAAAAAAAACTCAAGAAATAATATTCGGCGCAAAAGAAGAAACACAAAGAAATAACCGCAAAGTTTTTTTTAAAAACAGTATAGAAAAACAAAGAAATAACCCAAAAGCGCTAAATTGCACCTAAATTATAAGAAAAAGACGGGACACTTCCGGTAATGCAAACTACTCCAGCGATACAAAAAGACAGGACACTGCCGGTAATGCAAACTACTCCAGCAACACATCACAGTACTGTTGAAACTAAAAAGTTCCCATTGACAGATTAATTGACAGCAACCGACATCACGGACAAGGCAACACTAAAAAGTAGATACAATACCATGAGCTAACTGAAACCAAGGGCTCAGAAGCGAGCAGCAGCCCGCATCTCCGAAAGGAGAGCAGCAGCCCTTCGCCGGTAGGATGTACGGGATCCCCGGAGACACGTGATCTGCCACCTGAGCAGACACATGCCGATCTTCGCCCTGATTGTTGAGATGGCAACGGCATAGCTAATGTCTCTGCACTTCTCTGCGACACGACTTGCCAACGTCTTCAGGGAGACCTCACACTCCACAGCCGCCTGGCCATTCGTTCCAAACACAAGCGGCGTGAATGATCCACGGTCAACTTGTGTGATGCGCTCCCCGTACTGCCGCCTCTTGGCCCGTTCGTTGTGGGCTAGTTGGCTCTTGACTTCTGCACACGACCGCAGAGACGCTTTGGGGTGGGTCACCCTTACATCGAAAAACGAGCTCTGCTGCCGTGTCCAAAAGCCAAGAGCTCGGATGTCCACTCTCGCTTGGTCGGCATGAGATCCACTGACGTCCTCGCCGTCCAGGGACAGGAGGACTGGTTCCCGTTCAACGTCCGGGACGACGACAGATAGAAGCTCCGAGAGCAAATCCCGGATCTCGTTGTGACGAGCCGTGGGATACCCCCCGGCAGGGCAGGTCATCGCATGATCCACCGTAAAATCGGGACTCCCGCGGCAGATACATGACGTCGGCAAATCATGCAGCGCCAGACCATACCGCAAAGCTAGGCCGTCGCGGAAATCCGACTTCGACAATAGGGTGCCATGTTCGTACGTGGGTGGAGACGTTACCCACGTCGAAACGCCCTTCTCCTTTGAGGTGTCGAGAAGAAGTCGCTGAGGTGGTGTTAGAGACGGTCCCAGCTCGCTGATGGCGTCCACGAGGGACTCACGAAACTGAGCGCGTGTGCGCCCGGCAACTGCCCTGGACGCTGCAATTGCATCCACCACCCGAGGCCGCCGCCGAGCAAGCCCCGAAGCATCACCCGCACAAACACCAGTGCCGGGGCTGAGACTCCGAGCGACCTCCGATGCCGCATCATCCGCACCCGCGGCAACGAGGAACTCCACAATCGGGCCAGTAGAAGCACGAGAGAGCTCTAGCTGTCTCACGGCACCCTCGGACGGGACGGGGATGCCTAGACCACCGAGGCGGACAGGCAACGACAACAGCTTACGGAGGGACTCCGGCAGCTCGTCTCGACCGAAAATGCCCTCGCAGAAACGGACGATCACATTGTCCAATGGACCAAAGGCGTCGGCAGGGACCTCACACACTCGCTGCAGAAACCTCCACTTCGCCTGCACTGCGGTCGAGACGACGTGGTACGCAGCCTGGGGTTGGGTTTTGGCGAGCACCGTCAGACGATTCATCAGCGTTAGCCAGGTGTTGATCTGGGACGAGACCCGACTCGCCACAAACTCGTTGGACCCGATGTAACCACCCAGGGACCGAACACCATCCGATCGGATTGCAATTCCTGTCCCGTGGAACACTTCCTTCGCCGTTTGCTCAAGCTCGGGCTTGACTAGGAGGATAGACTTCTGGGCAT